AGCAGGGATCTACTAGTCATCAGTAGAAGTTATCCCTCGTCGACAAACGTTTCGGCCCACGACCTCCTAGACGTTTTCAGAGAGTGGGCGCACCTGAGTTCATGAGGCTCAGGGCTGGTTTCCCTGCTGCACGGAATTACCAGATGGTGTTTTCTTTTCGGATAGGGACAAGACGACGTGGTGATTTCGCAGATGGTACTGTGAGATAAGCTCTAACCTCATCAGGCTGTCTCACTGGGCTGTAACCTCACCAGGCTGTAACATCACAGGGATGTAAAACATCAGGATATAATATCACAAGGATGTAACCTCACCAGGCTGTAACTTTACCAGGCTGTAACTTCAGAAGGATGTAACCTCACGAGGATGTAACCTCACAAGGATGTAACCTCAACAAGCTATAGCCTCACCAGGCTGTAACCTCACCAGGCTGTAACATTACAAGGATGTAACCTCACCAGGCTGTAACATCACAAGGATGTAACCTCAACTGGCTGGTCACAAGAGGCAACTTAGTGTCGGTAAGTGTGCTTGGTCATGGGGTTAGCTGGCTACCACATCCATAGACAACTATAAACAAATATAAAAAGGACAGAAGAATTACTCAGTTAACTAAGATAAGATGAGGCTTTTTCCTTTGAAGAATTATTAAGCGAAATTGAATAAGTCTGTATGGTTGTATAATGTCAGGCAATCCGATCGTTGGTCTTCCCTTCTGTGTGCTCTGTAGCCCACTTCTCTACGGTGGCAGACACATATGACTAGCTAATGCTGACTAGCTAATGGCTGTGTGTGATGTCTCTAAGACATCTAGTTTCACCACTGGTCACGTCCATTTTCTATCACTGTACTGTATTTATGTACGTTTCAGGCTCTAAGTCTTTTACTTTGAATACAGTCAACAGTGAGAAATGAAAGGGCACACAGAAAAGAAACATGCACAAACAGAATCACAAACTCGAAAGACGACTTGCCTTTCTTTCTAACAGGTTTCCCTTGCCCAACAACTTTCTTAAGCATTTTCCCCATAGAGACGAGTATACAGTTTTAAATCCATGCTATATGTGTGACCAGATGCCGAGAAAAGTCAGAAAACGATGTCGTTTCCACGCAAAACATAAGTCCAAACTTGTCCGCCATTGCGGTTGGTGTGAGCAAACGAGATCTCGCGGCGGTGCTCGAGATCTGAGCCCGTTTGGGGTTAGGCGACAAGGAGCGGGTCGGGGAAGGAAAAAACAAAGGAAGATTTGCCTACAGAACATGACTGAGTGGACAGGCAAACGTTCATGTCACTGTCAGAAGTGGGGGAAACTGGTCAGTCAGTCAGCAGTAACTGGTGATCTCAAGACACACGGTGTTATACCGGCACTTGATGGGCTGGCAATAGACATCTGCATGTAGATCTGAGAAATGAACGTTCTTCAGAACACGGCCTTATCAAAGAGTGAGAAATAACTCAAATTCCGCTGCAAGTTCCAAAAGGGGCAGCTTTATAAACGGCAGGGAACTCATATTATGTGAGATTAAATGCACGATAAAATCTGCTGCCTTCACCAGAAGAGACGATACGGAATCCAATTACCTGAGCAATGTCACTTAACTTATCGAACTTTGAAAGTCAAAGTCTATATGGGGACAGAGGGACAGCTAGTGTATTGATATATTCAGTGTAGTATTGTCATTACATGAAGGTGGCAGATTCTAACTCTAGTTTGACTATGAAAGTTGCTAAATGTTGTCAAGTGTGTCCTCGAAACTCGTTTCTTTCCTTGACTCCTACGAGTGTTCTCACGGGCTAATAGTTTATTCATTCATTCATTCAATAGCATGTCCCTCGCAGCCATAACAACCCTCCGGAAAACCTTCCTATCCTGAGCAAGATGTCCTGCGTCTGATACACCCATCTGGAGATCATCTGCCACATCCTGCACCCATCTTCTCCTTGGCCTTCCTCTTCCTCTCTTCCCAGGCATATACCCCTCCATTATTGTTCTCTCTAGACTTCCATGACGTTTCAAGTGACCAAAATATTTCAATTTTCTTTGTTTTATTGTCTTTACTAGCCAACCCTCTTCAATATTCAGCTCTTGAAGTATGGATGCATTTGTTCTTTTCTTTACCCAAGATATTCTTAGAACCTGTCTGTAACATTTATATTCAAATGCATTTATGCGCTGTTCCGCTTGTTTAGTAAGTGTCCAGGTCTCACAGGCGTACGTTGCAATGGGAAAGATGCATGCTCTTAAAAATCTGACCTTTGTAATTCTATCTGTACAATTCCATAATTTATTCAGTTGTTTTAGTCTTTGAAGAGCAATTGATAGTCGCCGTTTAATTTCTTTCATTGTGTCACCATTGTTGGTAACCAGTGACCCAAGATATTCAAAATTTTCCACCACTTCCAATCTTTCCTCATTAACATATATTTCCTTCTCCATGGCAGTTTTGTTTGTATGCATTATCTTTGTTTTTGCTATGTTAAGAAATAAGTAATGATTTTCACTATTTCTTTGGAGTGAGAATAGTTTATGGAAACCAATAATAAAAAAAATAATTTCTAAAATCTTTTTTGACCCCCCCCCCCCTTTCCTCATGCACACTATTGCTACCAGTTCTGGACAGTGTTTGTAAAATCAGTTCTCACGATATTTCAGTGGTGTCAAGGATACCTCAACAACTAACATCTCTAAGGATTTAGTAAATGTATTAAAGTGCTGACACAAGTCAGTCGAACCCCATAAACTTCAGGGACAAGCCAACTGTTGGCTTACACTTGACTGTCTGTCACCTCCTGGTGTGTGGCCATGCCACCTGGCCAAATATGGAAACTTTTGTACCTGGGCACTGACAGTAGTCGTTGGACAGTTCAGCAGCACGGGAGGAACACGACACTGGCTGTAAGACAGCAGATGGTAGACAGTTCAGCAGCATGGGAGGAACAAGAGAATGGGTGCAAGACAGAGGATGGTAGACAGTTCAAAGTATGGGAGGACCAAGACAGTGGGTGTAAGTCAGATGATGGTAGACAGTTCAGCAGTATGGGAGGACTATGACAGTGGGTGTAAGACAGCAGATCGTAGACAGTTCTACAGCATGATGGGAGGACCAAGACAATGAGTGTAAGTGAGATAATGGTAGACAGGTCAACAGCATGGGAGGACTAGGACAGTGGGTGTAAGACAGCAGATGGTAGACAGTTCAGCAGTATGGGAGGACTAGGACAGTGGGTGTAAGACAGCAGATGGTAGGAAGCAGTATGGGAGGAACAAGACAACAGGTGGCAGATAGTTCCGCAGTATGAGAGAAACAAGACAACAGGTGGTAGACAGTTCAGCAGTGTGGGAGGAACAAGACAACAGGTGGTAGACAGTTCAGCAGTATGAGAGAAACAAGACAACAGGTGGTAGACAGTTCAGCAGTATGAGAGGAACAAGACAACAGGTGGTAGACAGTTCAGCAGTATGAGAGGAACAAGACAACAGGTGGTAGACAGTTCAGCAGTATGAGAGGAACAAGACAACAGGTGGCAGATAGTTCCGCAGTATGAGAGGAACAAGACAACAGGTGGTAGACAGTTCAGCAGTATGGGAGGAACAAGACAACAGGTGGCAGATAGTTCCGCAGTATGAGAGGAACAAGACAACAGGTGGCAGATAGTTCCGCAGCATGGAAGGACTAGGACAGTGTGTGTAAGACATTAGATGGTTGACAGTTCCGCAGCATGGAAGGACTAGGACAGGGGGTGTAAAACAGCAGATAGTCGGAAGCAGCATGGGAGAATGAAGGCAGTGGGTGTTAGACAATTTATCATCACAACTAAATGAACAGCTGTGGAAATAAAGACAATGTATTTCACACAGTAGAAATATTCTTACACGGACTGGTTGCATTGTGAGCTATTATCATGAAGCTGTCACACCTGCATATTTCCAAAGGCCACTTTGACAACATGTAAAATAATAGAAAAATCAACTCAGACAAGACATGTAATCATTTGTATTTACTGGTAGCAAGAGACACACTAAAACATAATCTGTATTACACATTCAAGTTTGGAACTCTGAATCTGTGTGTATGAGGCAATGGTCCTGTTGTGGCCAGGAATTTTCAACAGTCCTGTCCAAACTACAATTATGCCAAAAATGAATGTCCTGTCATCACACTGTACAGCAATGACTAGTGGCTGGGGCTAAATATTGCTTTTACTTGGTTTATATTTACCATTTCAACCAAGCATGATCCACTCTGTGTGAAACATGTGGAGTGTATGTAGTAGCATTCATTGGACTTGTGAGTGGGCAGGGCAGTAGTTCCCTCAATACTGAATGAAATCTGTCCAGTCCAGACAAAACTCTACCAGAACTACAATCATTGGAAACCTCTGGCAGCAGACCTAGAGCTCCAGTACCTCCACAAATAGTAACTGTGATGACGAAGGCTGTGTGATTCACAGATAGGTCAGTTGTTTGGCATCATAAGTGAGCACTGGCTGTTCCATCACACTCAACTGGTGTTGAGGAAGCTGGTGGTGCATTATCTATCATCACCAGCAGCATGGCAATGAAAGTGCTAACAGTAACCAATGGAAATACAGTTCAGTGGTAAGACTACATCCAGCCTTGCACATTTATGGATTGTTTGAGCATCATTCAGACAGCTGAGGTAGGTTCCACATATAATGGTCCACAATTTGCAGGTATGTTTACCTTCAGGCCAAGATATGTGCAAGCTGTGGGCAATGAATGAGCAGAAAGGTTTACTGGTAATGCCCTATATTTAAAGGGGGAAAAAAGTCAACACATCAAGGCCACACAGCAGGCGAAGTAAACATTGAGGCTTGAAGCCGTGCTTTGGATCAGCAACATCTGTCTCAGAAACAATATCTCTGCTGCCTTCAAACATTTCTCACTTGCTTGTTGAATAGCTAGCCAGTCAACAACTGAACTTATCATGAAGATGTCACAATGTCTTCACTAATAAATAAGTGTCTTAGAGAACTGTCAGCACCCATGCTTTTTCCCAAAAGACAGTATGACAGGCCTGCCTTGTAGCTTGTAGCCATTGACCACCTGGACAGCTCTTGTTGCTGTCGCCGTAT